CAAGCTTTCCTTCCACGCCAAGGAGAGTCCCGTCCGGACACGGGAGATAATCTTCAGTCTGGTATCTTTACAGCCCATCAGTCCAGCCCACATACCATAGTCCGGATGCCCGAGGACCCCCTAATCCAGGACTCCCTCAGTTGTATCCCAATAATCGCTTTTATTTATAGCCATTAAGCTAGGCTTTGATATTTCGATGATGCTCACATGAAAGATAATAATTGTAACAAAAGAGAGCACCATAAAACATGTGACATACAAACTTAAGTCTAACATGCTTCCTATGCATAGGCATTTTATAAGCAAACAAATTATCAAGGCAAGCAAACACTAGCATCTGCAAGGGAGAAGAATAAAACATTGACAATCTCAACATAACGAGAGGTAATTTAGTAACATGAAAATTTCTAGAACCATATTTCCCTCTCTCAAAATAGTTACACGTGGGTTCGTATCCAAATTCAACAATATAGCTATCACACAACATATTGTCTACATGATCCATAAGCATGCAAAGTTGACACTCTTCCAAAATAGTGGGATTATCATCAAATAAAGCCATGACCTCTCCAAGCCCACTTTTATAAAAAAATTCATAAGATTGATCATTCTCCATAGTAGTAGGATCCTTATTACGTAAATTAGGAACTCTTCCAAACCCACTTTCAATATTATCGCAAACATATTCATCACGAGGCTTAAGTAAATTTTCAAGATCATAATAAGAGTCACCCCAATCATGATCGTTGCAATAAGTAATGGACATATCAAAATTAGCATCCCCAAGCTTGGGGTTTTGCATATTATTAACATAATTGACATTAATAAAATTTATAATAACATCATTGCAATCATGCTTTTCATTCAGGGAGCTATCATGAATCACTTCATAAATTTCCTCTTTTAGTACTTCATCACAATTTTCAAATTCATGAATTTCAAGCAAAACTTCATAAAGATGATCTGGTGCGCTCAGTTCACTAGAAATTGGTTCAACATACTTGGATCTTTTAAAAAGATTAGCATGAGGTTGAGGATCCATAAAGTTATTGCATCTGATTTGGAATAAACATGCCATTATTCCAAGCGAACAAGCAAACAAACCAAGTTAGACATAAAGGCAAACTAAAAGGCAAACTGAAAGAAGGCAAATAAAAAGGAAAATATTTTTGTATTTTTTTGAAAGCGTTTTAGAAGTGGGGGGAGGAAAACCAGAGGCAAATGGCAAATAATGTAAATGCAAGAGATGGGAGTTTATGATACGTACTTGGTAGGCTTGATGTAGATCATCCCTAGCACCAATGCCAGAAATTCTTCCTGCTACTTCTTGAGCTTGCGTTGGTTTTTCCATTGAGGAGGAAAGGGCGAGGCAACAAAGTAGATATAAGTATTTCCCTCCGTTGAGAACCAAGGTATCAATCCAGTAGGAGGAACACACAAGTCTCCAATAATTGCACCTACACAAACAAACAAATACTTGCACCCAATGCGATAAAGGGGTTGTCGATCCCTTCACGGTTACTTGCCGAGATGAGTTCTGATAAAGATAGATATAAAACATAAGTAAAAGTGTAAAATCAAATAAAGATAAATAAATTACAGCAAGGTATTTTTGTGTTTTTGATTTTCTAGATCTAAAAATAATATGAGAAAAGATAGACCCGGGGCCATAGTTTTCACTAGAGGTTTTCTCTAGAAAGAAAGCATACGATGGTAAAAAAATTACTGTTGAGCAATTGATAGGAAAGCGCATAGTTATGACGATATCCAAGGCAATGATCATGTATATAGGCATCACATCCGAGACAAATATACCGAATCCTGCCTGCATCTACTACTATTACTCAACACATCGACCGCTATCCAGCATGCATCTAGTGTATTAAGTTAACAAGAACGGAGTAAAGCCTTAAGCAACATGACATGATATAGAGGGGTGGATCCAATCAATATGAACAAACCATGTCTTTTTATCCTTAATGGCAACAATACAAATATATGTCATGTCCCCTTCTGTCACTAGGATTGAGCATCACAAGATTGAACGCATTACAAAGCTCCTCTCCCTTTTCAGGAAAAATCAATCTAGTTGGCCAAACCAAATCAATAGATCGGAGAGAAATACAAAGCTATATATATCATGCATAAAGGATTTCGAAGAAGACTCAAATAATATTCATAGATAGTTTGATCATAAACCCACAATTCAATGGATCTCAACAAACACACTTTAAAACAAGATTACATCGAATAGATCTCCAAGAACATCGAGGAGAACATTGTATTGAAGATCAAAGAGAGAGAAGAAGCCATCTAGATACTATCTATGGACCCGTAGGTCTGTGGTAAACTACTCATACATCATCGGAAGGGCAGCAAGGTTCATATAGAGGCCCTCCATGATCAAATCTCCCTCCGGCAGAGTACCGGAAAAGGTCCCCAGATGGGATATCACAAAGATAGAATCTTCCCGCAGTGGAAAAGTATTTTGGGTGTGCCCTCTGGTCTACGGTGAATTTTTGGGTATTTTGTAGAAGAATAATTAGGGTTGGAAGTGCCACGGGGGCCCACAGGCCTGTAGGGCGCTCCCCCTGAGCTTGTAGCCACCTCATGCATCTTCTAGCCTCCTCCCGAAGCTTCTAGGGTATCTTGTGGTCCAAGAAATATCGTCAAAAAGTTTCATTCCATTTGGACTCCGTTTGGTATTGATTATCTATAAAGACAAAAACAAGGAAAAAATAGCAACTGGCACTGGGCACTAGGTTAATAAGTTAGTCCCAAAAATGATATAAAATAACATAATAATTCTTATAAAACATCCAAGGTGGATAATATAATAGCAGGGAACAGTAAAAAAATTATAGATACGTTGGAGACATATCAACATGCGTAAATCCTTTCTTAGATGGGTCTATAAGAAATATCTATGTTCCTCCAACCGGAAAGGCCATATAAAAAATATTAGCTTTCTTCTTTGAGGCCAAATACTATGCACATGAAATTTTGGCACTCTTATTGAACTTTGAAGAAATTTTAACATTTGTGGTATGAAACATACATTTTACCAAGTAATAACAAACCTTCATTCAAAAGTATCGTTCCTTCATTAGTTAAAAGGGAAAGATAATTAATATACTCCCTCTGTTTCAAAGTATAAGGTGTATTAGCTTTTTTCAAAAGTCAAACATGAAGTTTTACAAAAAAAATTCAAAAAAGGTATCAATATCTACAATACCAAATTTGCTTCATTACACTATCATGAAAAGTTTTTTTTATTTTTCTTGTAGATGTTGATATATTATTCTATAATACTTTTTTTAGAACAATTACCGGGGAGGAGAGGATCCCCGCCTAAACATATTACTCAAAGTGTCGCGAGGCCATTGTGAGATTATGGAATACAATGAGTGGAAAGGTGTAGGTGTCATGAGATGGCAGCATCCCTTCTAACAAGATCCTTTACTTTGAAGATCCACAGTGTGGAATTTGAGATGATGTTCCTAATAGTGTAATTCATTGAGTGGACCTCATGCCAGAACACACAAGCTTTACACGAGTCCCCAAACTTCCAAAAGATGGTGAGGGCGGCAGTAGGCCAGATGTTGATGTCGAGGCCTACCAGAGTAGGAGTATCCCAAATGGAGTCAACAATGAGTGGAGCAGTGAAACCTACAAGGAGCTAGACTTGTGTCACCGCCATGCACAGAACAACGATATGGGAAAGATGAGTCAGTGGAGATGGTATTGCACTGCAAGTTCACCTTGGTGTTCAGCCTGTCCCGGAGAAGTGGCCCACCAAAAAGATTGGCCTTGATGGGGGCCATGGAGCTCCAGATATACCTGGCATTGTCATCAACCTCATAGTTGTGGAAAAGTGATTTTTAAGCGCACCTTTAGGAGATTATTGAGCCATTGTTGAGGAACATTTCGTCTAGAGCATCACTAGTAGAGACATCCTACAGTAAAGATAAAATAGCACCAAGCTCGACAAAAGCGACATGGGATAGGCGATCCCGCAAGTTCACGCGGAATCCATCCTGCAAAACCTGAGCAACTAGAATGTGGGTGAGGTGGAATGAGAGTTTAAGTGGGGGTAGGCTAAAGCTAGATGTTTGTCAATTAGCCAAGAGTTGCCAAAAGCAATGTTCAAGAAATCATTAACATGTAGCTACTCTATCGGTTTAGGAGTACCGATTAATCGATGAATCATCCTATTAACTGGATTAACCCATTAGTTGGTATATTGAATAGGAACTTACCAACATATATCTAGATTTCTTTATGTATTATACAATACTCTCATGCTCCCAACTATGTAGTATACCCAAACATGTTAGTGTACACATATTAAAAGCATAGGGAGGAGGTAAAATTATTGAAATCATGGATATTAAGGAGCGGGATGGGGATGGAAGGGGTTACAGGCCAAAATCTTGGGCTTTGTTTGCCAACCCAATAATGGGCCAGTAGGGATTATATGACCTAGCAAGTAATTAATGGATGTAATTGGCCAACTAATCGTCCTGACAAGTTAACATGGGGAATAGGTTATATTTGATTCGTCCATGCTAGGAGTAGCGATTAACTGGCCCCTTAACTGATTAATCGAGAGAATACTTGAACAGTGGCAGAAGAATGTGGAGGTGCCATTGTTAAGTAGTATGACAAAATATTTTGTAGAGATTGAATTTGGTCATGAGATCAAACATACATAAGATTAACTGAAATGAATATTGATGCACCTTATATGGAACATAGGGTGTATTACACAACCATCAAAGATGACTCTTTTGTTTACATAGGGAAACAACAACACAAACATAGTCAAGAAAATAATTTCCTAGTTTCACACCCACATAGCATACCTTCACCCCGGGCTTCTATTGATAATTTTGTTTCCTGCAATAAATAACCTCTTAGAAATTTTCTCCACCCTTGCTATAACCTTTGTGCATGGTCCCAATAATATTAATCATGGGATATCTAGCTATGGGGCAAGATCAGCTTTGTAGGCTTTTCATCCTTGCTTTTCTATGCAAACTCATGTGACCACCATATGCTTGAGATGAGTTGAATGTGGCACTGCAAATCTTGCATGTGTACTTGCGTGATGTTGTAGGACCCCGTGTAATACCACTCTCAGAAATGCCATTTTGACCAACTAGAGGGACTTTATCTTCTCTTGGAATAGGTGAGGACCGCATGCCTGGAGAACTAGGGGTAGGTACACCATAAGGATCATCAAATAATAATCTCCCATCTTGTATGTTCCATTCCTGCTGCATAGTACTTGGTGTGAAGGGGGTGAATGTCTTCAAGATAACAAAGAAACCTAGATGGTAGTGAGTTTACCTTGGAGACATGCTTGACATCCATCTTAAAGATTGAACCATCATCCGGCTCTCCCATAGCGGTAATTTGGGAATGAACCATTAATTTTGGTTCTGTTTGGAGTAACGATGTGAAGGATGAAGCCACCATGGACAAATTCTGCCTCTGATGAGATGAGTCAAACTCATTCCAAAAAGGATATGTGAGGAATTCTTCATGTGAGAACATTTATTTTTTGTCCAAGGATAAAGGATTAGGGATTGTATCACCCAACTATGGGGGTAGTGGTGCGAGGTCTGTATGTGATTGGTATGGAACCATGGATCTTTCATTAACTGACATCACAGTAGCTCCTTGTGGTGCATGGATGGTTGGTGAGGAATTTCCTATTGAAGGTGAATCTGATGATGGGGATTCGAAGGCTACAAAACTTTTTAATATCGACATGGCTGTTGTGCCTCTCAATGCTTCATGCAAGGGAAAAATGTTAAGATATGAGCCACTAGGATCCATAGCTACTGGCAAGGGGGAAATGTTAGGATAGGAGCCATTAGGATCCATAGCTACTAGCAAGATGAAAAATTTGCAGTAGAAGCTATAGAGAATGGAATGCATGTGGTAGGATGCCGTTTAATGCTTATGGAGGGTATTACATAAGATGATATTTATAAGGATCTTACAGAAGTATAGACGTGCATGGACTCATGTACTATTAAATTATCTCATTGCCAAGAAGATCTGGATTTTAATAATTCATATTAATACAACATATAGGAGATATGGGATAAAAAATTATAATAATTAACAAGATCTTTTAGGATCTTTTGGTATATTTGACCTCCCCACCTGCTTTCATAAAACCTAGCATTAGTCATGTGAAATGTATGGTATGATTATTGAAGAATTGGTCCCATGCATGTTCTCTTTTGTTGGGAGAAAAAACATGTATGTTGATACAAAATTGCATGAAGTGATGTCACTTTATTCTCGTATTTCAAAAAAATTAACTTCCTTATATGATTGCAAAATAGGTGCAAACTAGTATTGCTAATGGATCTGCAAGAGATAGAGATAGAGATAGAGATAGAGAGATAGAGAGAGATATGAAGAGAAAAAAGATTGTTCATATATGTCTTTCTCTCTTGGACCGAGATTTCAACGCAAGGGAGGCAACCACAAGGTCCAAAGTTGCACCGTGCAGGTTTGTTGCACACTACCAGACATGTCCTCAATGTTTTCCATAGGGGACACGAGACTGTATAGTGAGTCAGCTTTGTAGGTCAGCAAGTCAAGCACCAAAGTAGTTTGTACTTTCAACGACATATATCAATCTATGTGTTTATGTGAGTTCTTTCCAAGAGAAGGATAAGTCCAGACACTCGATTTGAGTGAGTCCAAGCTTCATTCTGAAAGAACGCGTATCACAATCAACTTGACTGTACAAAAAATGCATGTAAATCATATGAAATGATGAGCTGATCGAGTCTGCCGGTAGTCATTTTCATCTCATAGAATCACACGACACTCGTCCACAATAACTTTTAGCAGCTGCATTGTAGCATGCCAAGTAATCAAAGAGGAGAAATAGTTGTGACCCATTAGTATGCACAAGTAAGAAAATAGGCATACGCACATCCGCGGGCAAATTTTTTTTATCATCTGGTCAAATTCGATGGTATAACTGGACCGTTCGCCATTCATCTTCCTCCCCCTCTCATCTTCTTCATCCTCAACACCAACCAAGCCTCGCCTCTAACAATTCTATGTCCAAGCCTCGCTGCTACTCGCCAAGGTGTCCCCATCTCTAGCTTAAAAATATTTCCTGGCTATGCATTGGAGCTCTACGAAGATGATTGAATCTTGAAAAAGTTTTAGGCACCGGATAAATAGAAAATGCGAATAAGGGTCTCTTTGATTTGCAAGTTTTTTAAAATGCGGGAACAAGAAAGGTATATAACTGAGGTGGCAATGCCCACTTAAATACTATAGGATTAGCATGGAGTTTGATGCCACATGAAAAACACAGGAATTGTAAAAATAGGTTGGAGTGGATGTTAGATTTTCTGTGAGATATAGTATAAAAGATTAGATAGGAAGTATTCTTATGGGATTCAATCCCATCAATCAAAGGACCAACATTGGAAAAAATTCTTAAGTATTTTAATCCTCCAAAAATATTATAGAAATCCTTTGAATCAGAGTAGCCCCAAATGGGAAAACACTACAACTATGACAACAATAGATACTCTAAAGTGAATCAGTTAGCATGGTAATTATAGTTCGCCTATTTTGGCTAGAGTTTTATCTTCCAATTACGGTAACTCTAACATGAAATATGTATGTGGCATGCCATATATTTTTTCCAAAACTACCAAGTGCACTAGATGTCATTTGTTTCTAATCTGACACGCACTAGTTTGCTCCATCGCGACCGAGCGCGTGTGATCCCTTTTGATACCATCGCCCACTCTCCCTTCCCACCCCACATTATTACTTCTCCCCTATTCATTTTTTGGCAACCGTGCCTCTTCCTACTCTGCTCTCTGTTCTCTCTGCTCTCCCTCCCATGCTCTAAGTTGACAATGCATGAAGCACTCTGACCGTATCAGTTCTCGGTGGTCAGCGGTGATTCTGTTGGTGAGTCGCATTCTAATCCTCTCCATATCTTCCCCCAATCCATCGAGTAGTTTGTGTTTAGTTTTGGTCACTGTCGGTGTCAAAACCGGCGGATCTCGGGTAGGGGGTCCCGAACTGTGCGTCTAAGGCGGATGGTAACAGGAGGCACGGGACACGATGTTTTACCCAGGTTCGGGCCCTCTTGATGGAGGTAAAACCCTACGTCCTGCTTGATTTATTCTTGATGATATGGGTATTACAAGTGTTGATCTACCATGAGATCAAAGAGGCTAAATCCTAGAAGCTAGCCTATGGTATGATTGTATGTTATTGTGTCCTACGGACTAAAACCCACCGGTTTATATAGACACCGAAGGGGGTAGGGTTACACAAGGTCGATTACAAAGGAGGAGATACACATATCTGTATTGCCTAGCTTGTCTTCCACCCCAAGTAGAGTCCCATACGGACACGAGACGAAGTCTTCAATCTTGTATCTTCATAGTCCAACAGTCCGACCAAAGGATATAATCCGGCTATCCGGATACCCCCTAATCCTGGACTCCCTCAGTAGCCCCCGAACCAGGCTTCAATGACGATGAGTCCGGCACGCAATATTGTCTCCGACATTGCAAGGCGGTTTCTTCTCCATCTTTCGAATGTTTATAAAGCAGTGTGCGGTCCCATGAATGTTTGGACCTCTTGGCTTTTGTGCCCAGTAAGGGCTTTCTCCCATGCGTCGAATGAATACAAGGCGCCAGCGCATTTTTACATTCGCCCCCCTAGACAGATAAATGAATTGTCTATTAAAGGGATGGGGATCCTTAGATCCGATCCATACAATCCTCCCCCAGCGAGAGTCCATCAGAGCGCGTTCCGGAAAGATCCATTCCAGCATGGCGGACCTCCGCAGCTCCTCCTTCCACCCCCGAAGCCCTAAGCCCGGTGATTGGGAGAGGTGTTCATTCCCACACAGTCGTTTAGTCGAAATGCAGACTAAGGGATTTCTCCCTCCGGCGTACATGGTGTCCGTTCGAGCCGGGCTCGCCACCTATAATGGCGGGGAGCAAGCGGAGAGCCTTCCCTGTCCCTCTATGGGGGAACGGGTCTGCCTTGTCCCCTATCTATAAAGGGGACTCAGATTTCCAATTCATCCATTCATCCGCGGGCTCCTGGAGTTCTATGGCCTCCAATTACACAACTTCACCCCCGCCTCCATCCTACATATCGCCGGCTATGTGGCTCTCTGCGACTTGTTCCTGGGCTGCGAGGCTCACTTCGAGCTGTGGAAAAGGCTTTTTTGCCTCGTCCCTCACACACAGAGGGGGTCACTTTATCAAGTGGGCGGAGCCGAAATATGGCGCATCGCCGATAGCGGAAAGCTATCCGGTACTCCGAAGAAGTCGCCCGAAGACTGGCCTTCAGAATGGTTTTATATGGAGGATATTCCCCTTCCGGACCCTATTCGGCGGGGTCTTCCAGAGTTCAACAATGCTCCTTCGAAGAAACGCCGAAGTTGGCGCCCACGGAGCCCGCAGGTGGAAGACAACAGAGAAGGCCTCTATCTGATGAACCGAATCAAAGGTCTGGCTCAATTAGGATTGACAATAATCAAAGTTATGTCAATTTTCATAATGCGGGGAGTGCAACCACTTAAATATCATGGGCACCCCTTGTGGTGTTATAATGGGGTGGATGACGCCACCCGCTGCGGGCGTAAGGGTCCGGACAATGTCGCCGCTTTAGCGAAAATTCTGTCCGAATTGTTCAAGGGTGAGGAAGAGGAGTTCACCCGCATCAAGCCACGGGATGGATTCTCCATGTACAATCCTCCAAGCTGGGTAAGTTATATCTCCCTGCTCCCATTTTTCCCGCATTCTTTGTCCTAAGTATTCACCTTGCCACTTCGCGGCAGGAACTGCGAAAAGCCATAAAGGAGGTCAGCAGCCCTTCTCCACAACCAGAGGACCCTGACCGGGCCCTCGACTCCGGACTTGAAGAAGATTCGGTTAGATCCGTGGAGCTGATAGACCGGCAGTTCTATGAGTTAAGCTGCGATGATGCCATGATGGCCATTACGGCCGACTATCCCGAACTGCTCCCTGCATCGCACGTAAGAAAAACCAAAAATCCCAACTCCAAAACTAGGATCCCCTTTTAGACACTTCACCCACCATATACACATGGCATTTTACAGGGAAGGCATTCGGGACGCCCTGCCGAACCCGCAGCAACGCGCCAACAGGAGGCACCAAGGCTGGGTAGGCCAAAAAGGAAGGCGGTCAGGACGGAGACGCCGGCGCAAAGGTAGAACAAACCCCGCTCCGTGGTTGTCGCCTTTCTCGAAATATAATGACGCCCGTGTTTCCTTAACAGAAAAAACGTTCGCTGAAATTTGTCCGGCGATGTTACTAACCATGCTTCCACCAGCCGGGCGCCAGCACCGGACATAGAGGCGGAAGCCGATATGGGGCGGGTGCCGGATAATCCCCCTACAGAGGATGCAGATAGATTATCTGCTACAAACTCAAAAGTGGAAAGCTCCATGGATCATAGGCACCGCCGGGCCATACTCCGTGATGCTTGTTTCTCACTAGAGGCATTTGATGCCT